CTCTGTGCTGTGGGTAGGGCAAAAACGGGACTGGAGGGGTTCGAGTAGGGAGTGGAGGGAGAGGCGTGAACGAAATTGCAACGACACATTCCAACACTTTGGCCAGGAAGGGCAGGTTTGAGATGGTCTGAAGTTTATGAAGTTGGGAGGGATCGAGGGTAGGTTTTTAAGGAGGAGTAATGACAACGGTTTTGAGGGGGAGTGGGGCAGAGCCTGAGGAGAGGGACTGGTTGATTGTGTCAGCCAGCAGTGGGCAGAGGAGGGAAAGTTGAGTGATCAGAAGCTGGGTGGGGAGAGGGTCGAGACAGCAGGTGGTGGGCTTCATCTGGGTGATGGTGGGGGAAAGATGTGGAGGCAGCCAGACAGATATTATTTATCTTATAGATTAATCTCTATAAATCCTCTTCGCACTTGGCACCAGAGTGAGGATTGAGGGTGCTTGAGAGTGGATGTGGAGGGGAGTGGATTTTGGTGTTGTTCTTGGCCTCAAAAACGACCTGTTAGAAAGACCGCATAGTGACAGACTTCTGTTCTCTTCACAAAAGAAAATGAGCCAAACCACTAACAGAAAGAAAATAGAATGGGGGAAGCAGAGAGAATAAAATGCTGTACTTCCATTTTTGTGATTTATTGGTCTGACAAACCCAATTATATTTTGTACTATAGTATTTATAGGCACAAATCTTCACCTTCATTAATGTGTTTTCTGTGAGCTGGAGCTCTGAATTTTTGCTCAAATGGACTTCTGTTCAGTTGCAACTTTAGGGGTAACACATTGATTCTATGCAACAGCTGTTTTTATAAGCTTCAGCATCCACTGCCCATTCCCACTTAACATTTCTCCAAATAGACTTTTAAAAAGTCAACCTTGCAATAGTTTTCAATAACATTTACTAGAATGTTTTGCAATAGATATGTTGCAGTAAAACTCTTTAGCCATTTACAATAGAAAAACTATTACTGTTTAGAGTTGGCTAAGCAGTTTTACTCAAAAAGTCCATCTTTCCACTCCTTCCAGCAAGTTGATGTTTCTAGTACTTGTCTAAATCATCTCTTGATGTTTCTCTCCATTCGATCTACAAGCACACCTGTCTTAAAACTTCTGTTCCTGACTCCTAGGGTGAAAACTGAGGTTTTTTTTATTCATTTTCTCCTCAGTCACGGTAAGAATCGTGTGCTAGTGATCCATCCCTTTCTACCATTATGACTAGAAATGTTGATCTGTGACATTCAAGTCAGTTGCATCCTCAAAAAAAGGTCTTTAGTCCTCATGGTAGATCTCATATTCTCCCCAGTGACTGTGCATCTAAACATACCTTGCCAGCAATGGTAGCTCCACTGTTGATGATCTTACCTACTTTATTCACAGCAAGAACTTTATAATACATCCAACGTGGGATGTGATAGATTTCCCATTGTATTTGTCTGAATCCTTTGACAGAGTTTAACATTATGCACTACAAACCAAGTGGCTATCTAATGGATTTTAAGAGTTATACTAGTGACTATCCTGTAGTGGAGTGTAGCTCAGTGGTTAGAGCACTCGCCTCGCAAGCGAGAGACCGAGATTTGATTCCTGGCAGAGTGAAATGTTGGGCAAGTTTCCTTACTCCACATGACTCTGCAGTAAATAGGAATCCGGTTGTTAGTCAATTGGTTGATCACTTTTCTGGGGATAATAATCCCTCAAGAAAAAAAACAATAATAATTTTGTCACTCAATCCACGACTGTTTGTGGGACACTGCTGTGCGCAATTGTTTGCCGCATTTCACCCATAAATACAGTCAATTCACTTTACAGTATATTCTGTGAAGTGCTTTGAGATGTCTAAAAGACATGAAGTGCTATATCAAATGCAAGGATTATTATTATTATTATCCAGTCTCTGCTCTCACCACTCTATTTGTGCTGCAGCTAATTTTCTTCCTCTAATTTTTTCCGTTGACTTAAGGTTTTCCAGGCCTCGACTCGCGGACAGCAGATCAATGATCTTCCCATTACCCACTCTATCCTTTCTCCTGCTGATGATTTCACACTACATTCATCACCTTTCTGAAGATTATTTACCCTCAGAGTAAGCCATATTCATTCCTCTTGCTTTGAAATGATTGAATTACTAAATATTGATCGCCACAACACCTTTCAATGGAGAAATCAATCGTATTTCTTTCAACTCCAACTTCTCTCACCAAGTCAAACCAACAGCTATTACCCCTCCAGCCTAGCCTCACTGTTAATGCAATCTCACCTACTGACATTTGTTCATTGTTTGCAGATCTCAAATCTCCATTTACTAAATCTGCCTCCAAGAAGCTATTTGATGCCAAATTTACTTACTTTCCATTCAACAGCCTCTAAATTTCCGTAATGCTCCGTTAATCCGTTGTCTCCTTATCTACGAACATATCCATCCAACCATACCAAATCAAAGGATTATTATCATCATCATCTTATATTCCTGAACCAGGAACAAGGAAAAACTTGTAAATCTGATGTGAACCTTTTCCACTTCTATCCCCGTTAATCAATCAACTTTTGTCCTTTTCCATAGTATTGTATTGATAATACGATGGAGCTGTTTCAATATGGTGCTCCGAGACACTATCCATGCAAAAGATGCTGTATAAGTGCAAGTTAGTGCTTGGTTGGTGGTGATCTGCGTCTATAAGCTCAGACACAAAAAACACCTCCGAAACATCGGGTGATGTCAGTGGCACTTCCTGTACATAGCACATAGGCGCACCTCGTGGGAAGTGACATAAGTGGCATTTCCTGTTCACAGTGAATCCGCAGGCTATATCAGCAGTAAACTGACGACCTGGGACTCAGACATTGTTTGCCGGTCAGTGCCAAACCCTGGCTGCACTACCCTTCCTGTATAGAGCACAGTGGAGCCGTACTATAATCAAACTTATACTCAACTGGGTGTCTTATAACAGGGTTGCCTTGTATCATCAATGCTCATCAATCTTCGGTTCTTCTAAGTTCCAAATACATACTCACTGCTAACAAATCTTCACTGTATTGAAATACAAATTCAGCATCATCTTCTATGCAGATTTCTGCATTTAAGGCAGGCAAATGGCAGGTTTGGAATAGTATTGAATAAAGTGCATGGGAAGCAGGGAGGGGGGAAAAGAGAGGTTAGAACTAGATTATGAGTCATAAATGGAATACTTTGTGCAATATGCAATGCCTTACGACAAAATGCTGTTGAACCCAAATCCACAACAGAAATAAAAGGGAATTGGACAAATATTTGAGGAAATTATATAAGGAGAAAAGAATTAGAATAGATAGCTCCAGTTGGGAAACTAGCACTACCAGACATAACAATGAGCTCCAGTTGGGAAGTTAGCGCTAACTAAACTGTAAACTTGCATGGGAGGTAATGAAAAACAACTTTTAGGCTTCCTCGATAAGATTGGATTTTAAAAATGTCTTATCTTTAATTCTTCGCAAAGAGGAATTCTTGTTCCAAGTGAAAGAAAATCTCTGACACAAAATGAGGCAACATTAAACCCAGCTCTGAAGTTTCAACCATAGTTCTGGCTGATGAAGTTGGCTGAAGATTAAAAGTACAAATCAGACAACTGCATATTTATTAAGAGCTTCAGACCTTCCTGGCAGAGTGAGAATTAACAGGCTGGTAATCACAGGCATTTTATTGTTGACTTGATGCCAACCACTCAATTTTAAGAGTCTGTCTTCCAGTCCTACAGCAGGCAGTGGCTGTGCTGTGGAATGAAAACTAGATTCATTGTATCCACCAAGAGAATCTCTTTCATTTAAATAGTCAGGATTCATCTGTACAGCGTTTGCACACAAGTTTCATCTCCTGTGATCTTTCTAGCAACAGAAAGACAAGAAAATAGCAATCCTTGCATTTCATATAACGTCCTTCACTTCATAGAATCTTACAACACAGAAGCAGGTTATTCAGCCCATCATACCTGTGCCAGCTCTTTGAAAGAGCTGCCAACTATAACAACTTGCATTTACATAGGGGCCTACCACACCGGGCGGCATCCCAGAGCGCTTGGCAAGTCCCACTCCCCTGCTCTTTCCCCATAGCCTTGCAAATCTTTCCAGGATGTTGCATATCACTTCACAGGATTTACTGCGAAATGTAGTGACTGTATATTTTGTAGGTGAGCACAGCAATCAATGTGCACATAGCAATGGCCCATAAAAAAAAAATTAGGTAAATGACCAATTTTATCTGGGGGATTGCTGGCCAGGGCATGGTGAGAAACTCCTTTCTCTTTTTGAATACTGCCATGAAACCTTTAACATCTACCTGAACAGACAAAAGGGATCTTGGTTTAATGTGTCATCTGAAGGATGGCACCTCCAACAATACAACTTCCCTCTATCCCTGCATTGTAGTGTCAGGGTAGGCTTGGTGAATTCAAAGTCCAAAAATGGGGATTGAATTCACAATCTCTGACCCGGGCCAATATTATTTGAAATGAACACAACCCTAAAATTCAAAGAGTTAAAGTGGGAAAAAGGCAGGTGGGCGAGGTGGGGTAAGCAGTGAACACCTTTAGTTGAGAAATTTGGATGCATTTTCATCTAATTTTACCAGATCAGTACAATACTATCAACAGTCTCTTCCAACATCATAATGGGGGTAAATTCAGAACAAATCTATGTAAATACTATTTCAGTGAGCAAATAGTGAGCGTGTGGAACAGGCTCCCTAGGGAGACGGTTGAAGCAGGAAGTGTTGATTTTTTCAAACACAGATTAGATAGTTTTCTAATTTTCTTTTAGGAAATAACATTATGGGATACAGTACATAGGTAGTTTGGGACATATGTGCACGCACAGGAGGGTGGAAGGAGAACTAGATGGACCTTGGTCTTCTTTCGTCTAGCATTCCTTATGTTCTTATAATGAATTATAATGAGACCTAATGAATATAATGAGACCTCATAAATAAATTTACCCATGAGGAAGCAAGAAAATAAAATTTGCAAAAATTGCCCATTGCTCTGCTGAAGACCAATTTATTTAAGAAAGAAAATTAGATTTTCATTAACAGCAAACATTCACGTTCAAGCAAATCTGGCAATGGGCACTTATCTCAGTCATTCTTGCTTTCTTTAACTACTGTACCGACCCAGACGTTCCCATTGCTCAGCGGGAACCGGCCTGCTTCATGTCCCCCAACCTTCCCACGGGTTTTCAGCTAGTCTGCTGCCATTCTCTGGAACTCCGACTTGCTCCGTCCCTCACCTTGTTCAAGGTCTCTTTCCCCTACTGATTCCCTCACACTTGCCTCCCACCCCTAGCTTCGGTGCCAAGCTTGGATTGTTAAGCACCTTGGGATGTCCTCCTGACATAAAAGGTGCTATATAAATGTAAATTTGTATAGCATTTAATATTTTTAAAAAACATTTAGTGTGTCCAATTATTTTTCTAGTTTTCTTCTCACTGGCATCTGCCTCTGTGTCCCTCGTCTCCAGCCGCCTCATAATGGGGTCTGGTTCCCTCGGCACTGGTTACCGTTGCCAAGTGGTCATTATTCAGGTGTGAATCTTGGCAGTGAGTGTCGGCAGGCGACTTGACAATAGTGAGTTACAGCAAAGCCAAACTCTGCTCACCTATCGGTCACACATGAGCACAAACAAAAGAGGGTGCTGAAGAGGGATGAGAAACTGGGAAGTTCAGGACCAATTTAGATTCCCAAGTAGTCCAAGTGAGACAAGTAAACTGGAATTCTATCCACACCATCATTAGGACTCCTTTCTGGGTCCCCCGTTCCACTGCCCATCTCGTTTTCTTTATATTCTTGCTACTTAACTTTGGCAACTGGGTGCAACAGCCTGAAATTATGATTTCCTCTCCTATTTTCTGGGATATTTCTGTTAACCCGTAAATTCTTCACACCCATGATGAACATTGTAACTTTTTGCAGTGATCGATGATTTGGGGAGAGATGTATTTTCATCAGCTGCAATGCTCATGATTATTGTATTCCTTGTAAATATACAAAATACATATATATTATAAGCAGGCATAACCAGTACACTGAAGGTTCCTGAGACATTTAGTGTAAAAGGACTTTTAAACAGTAATTGACGTGAGGGGGAGACTGATGGACCTGCATGTTACTTTTTAACTCAATAAACTACAAACTATTTGTAGCAACACCTGCCCATATTACAATGGTATCAGCCAGCGATTTCCAAGCTCCAGCAGTCACAAAAGTGCAGTTTAGCACAGCACTGGCACCAAAGGGCAGAATAAGAAATTACAGGAATTATTAGCTCTATGGAATTTTCCATGTTTGCACATTAATTATCTCATTATATTATTTATTGCATAAACTCTATAGAATTGTTTTTAAAAGGCATAGTCTAAAATATATTTACATTGTTTAGTCCAACACAGCAGAAAAAAGTCATGACATTCCAGCATTTAGGCAAATAAAATGTAGGACAACTGGTTTGCATTAAAAGAGCAGTAAAAATGATTAGTAGCGGCCACTCCTAATGACAGTCCTGAAGTGTGCAGTTAAAGGGCCTCAGTCCTCATGAAAGAGTCCAAGCAACTGCTTAATTGACTGAACAATGTCTGCTCCTGGGCTGTAAACTCCCTATGATTCCAAAACAAATGCAAATATGCACATTGCATAAACATGAACCGTCACTTCATGCTGTCACGTCACGCATGCAACAGCAATGTGACAAATCTGAGTACCTCTCCCAAAACAAATCGTCCAGTACCTTTTGATGAATACAGTGTCCATTTATCCCCACTTTATAATAGCGAATACATGTAAAACATGTATAGCTTCTGGTGAGGAAACAAAACCCAAACACTTAATGAGGTTACTGTTGCTCTTTTTGCCTCTTTGGACACGCTTAAGTCCAGGTATCTTGCAGGTATCGCTTCTCGTCACGTAAACTGGCGATGATTTTCATAGCCTCCAGGGTATCCACTTGCATCTCTTTCGACACAATCTCAGTTAGTACATTGTTTACATCTTTAGCCATATTCTTGGCATCTCTGTTTAAAGACGAAAAAATAGAAAATAAGTAAAAATAACATTTGTAGGAGTCCGAGATATAACAGTACATTTGGCCTTGACAGGTGTTATTTTAACAAATGTCCAAAACTGCAATTACTCATTCCTCACTTCTCTTACTGGATATAGAAAGGGAAGGAGGTTTATGTAGTCAGATATCTATTTGGAAATTATTAATGATTCTAAACAGATACATGACACGAGATGAGATATTAATTCAATGTCATCCTCACCGTCCCACGATACAGAGCTTTATACAGTTGCTGACACTTTGAAATTTAAACAAAACAGAGTCAAAAACAGTTATTTGCAGCAATGGGACTGACTAATGGAAAACAGCGATTGACCAAGAATCCTGGAGCTAAGTACGGCAAACTCTCCTCGAGGTACCTTCTGCCGATCAGGTGGTTCCTGCGAGTTAGTTACCAGCAGAATTCTCCATTAGCAACAATGTATTAGCAAATCCAATTGCAAACCGCTGGCTTTTTTTTCTAGTCTGAATCTCTTGTTTATTAATATCTAGTTCAATAGTACAAGATACAATTTGACAGATTTTAAAGAAAAAAATAATGGTTGGGTGATTTTATTCAGTGAATAGTTTAGCCGTACATACTGACATGGTCTCAGGTTTGATTATTGTTCTGTGCTGAGATTATTGATCTCAGACAGGATAACAGCCGGGAGCAACAATTGGAGCCCCCCCCACCCGGGTTGGGTTTCTCCTGGTGTTCTCCAACACAAGCATTGTAGTTCTGCAGCCCCTTCCCCACCACCACCACCTACAGCTTGATCAGATCATCCTTCATTATCCGCTGTTCAAGAGCGTACAGCCATTGTGCCATTGTGATATCTAAATGCGTTTTAAATGACTAATGAGTGCGCCTTGATTACCTTGCCATGGTCTATATCCATTCTAAATAAGCAGTCTCAAAAAGCTAAGATCAGAGGACACAAGTGAAATATATCCTCATTTACGTCCTCTGATCCTTACTTTTTGGTTTACTTTTCAGTGCCTTGCAACGTCCTTCCAACGTGAAAGGCGCTATATATAAATGTAATTTTGTTGTTGTTGGACATTGAAATGTCTAGGTTTTGTCACCTGTGCTACTTAATATTTTATATGCTTCGACGAGTTCTCCTAACCCCAGACCCCTTCACTGTCAACTCATAATAGGTTATCAAGTTCCTTGCACGCTCAATTATGAGACAAGCAGAAAAAACTTAGAGCTCCGAAAAAAATGCAGAATATGCAACATAGGTAAACTTTATACATACAGTCAGGACATTATCGGTAAACTGCATGAAGATAAATGGGGACCACCGTGTAGGTGAAGTAATGCATGTGGAGTCAAGTGCAATGATTATAAACTGTATGTATCTTATGTTTAAGATATAAACCAGGGAAAAGAGCAGCACGTAAAGTTAATACGTAGAATGGGATAAATATTATTTATAGTATTATGACTACCAATAGATAACACCAATTAGGAAATCACTAAGTTGCTGCATTTAGATAGTTTTACGATTTGTAACAAAACTTGTATAACATTTTAAAAATTGCTGCTATTAACAAGGTCGGAGAGGGAGAGAGAGAGAATCTGGGTTTTTAATCTGAATTTAATCTAATCTTTCAGAAATTTCGGGATCAAAATGAAACCATTTACATCAAAATCAAAGCAGAAAACATTTTCCCACAGAACGTTTTAGGGTTATGTAAAAATGCACTGTCACAGGATACTAGATGCAGAATCAATTGTGATCTTTGAAAGGGAGATTGGTAGAACCTGCAGAAAAAGCTGGATACTTGAAAAAGAAGAAAGCACTTGTTTTGTGTATAAAGGGATAATGAGAAAATTTGGGGAAATTGGGAGTCAAATATGAGCTCCAATTTCTAATAAAATTACAAAACAGTCTTGACAGGTTAAATCTTGGTTTTCTGCAACATCTCAGAGTGAATGAATTTGACAGAATACACAAACACTTGCTGATAAATTTCTTGATTGTCTGTGGTTTGGAATACTGCACTGCCCAGACACTGCAACCATGTATATTTATCACATAAAAGGATTATACATTTCATTCTGTGCACTGGTAACCAAGTCATTCACTTCAGTAACATGCAATTATACGGCTAAATGCATCATTACTTCGAACAATCTCTACTTACCCACAGACGTAAAAACAACCGTTATCGTTCAGTAAGAGTTTTGCAACATCTTGGGAGAAGAGCTGAAGATTATGCTGAACGTATTTTGGCTTTTCTTCTGTTGCGTCCTTGGGGAGGTCTCTTGAGAAACAGACTTTCAGGTGGGTTAAGGTACCGTTATTTTGGAATTCATTCAAGTCATCTCTGCAGAACAAGAAATACCTTAAACCCTCTATCTATCACATGATAAAAATTACCATGGGCCTGAACTGAACCTGTTTATGTTAAGGATGGAGAAATTCTCTTTTCCAAAATGATTTAACTGGGGATATCATGCAGAGACTAAAAAAAAACTAAGTGCATCTGAAAGTGCTGATATTTCAGATAGGTAATTAGAATAATCCTTTTGAGGAGTGCAGGTGAATTTTTGCACCAGAATAAAAAGATAAGATGCAAGTGAATAATGTATGCGCTGTTCAAAGATCTGATTATGTTAAATACTCGGCTTAGAGACAATGGATACATTTTGGGTGACAAAGGAAATGAGGAATAGAGAGAAAAAAATATTTGAAGTGTTCAATTCACTCTTGTGCATGTTGTAAATGTACAAAAATGGGAGAGGAAATGAAAAGAAAGGCACCCACATTCGGTCTCAAGATCCTGCTTAAATTTGTCTTTGTCTACACAGAAATACGAAAGTTATGTCAATGCAAGTGAAAACATATCAGCACTGTTGTACTTACCTGAACAGGTAGTCCCGATCTTGATGACAACAGCCAAAAAATAACCAGGTTTCCCCAAAAGAACCATCAGGATTCTGTTCCCTTTGTTTTTGTCTAAAATTAAGGAGTGAAGAGTCAGAGGAAGCAGAAATTGGTTCACAATCTGTACTGATATTTGCCTGAGCTGGGGTGTGACTTCCTGAAGGGAGTGCAGGATCAGCACACCACCTTTCATTCCATCTGCAGCAAATGAGCAAGTACTTTATGCTACTTCAGTAACCAGAAATAATCAAATTGGAGCAATTGCTTTCATCCACTGTTCAGTTAAAGTGGGGAAATATTTTTACAAAGTAAACAAAATCAACAGTCTGTCAACAGCCATTAACTTTTCCTTTCGTGGAGTCCTGTAGCTCAGCGGTTAGAGCACTCGCTTTGCAAGCGAGAGACCTGAGTTCAATTCCAGGCAGAGGGCGAAACCTTGGGCAAGTTTCCTTACTCCACACAGAGCCTAATAATAATCCCTCAAAAACCAAAAACAATAATAAATTGGTCATTTTCAATCTACAACTGTTTGTGGGACATTGCTGTGCGCAATTGGCTGTCGCGTTCGCCCACAAATATAGTCAATTCACTTTACAGTGTGTTCTGTGAAGCACTTTGGGACGTCCTCCCGACGTGAAAAGCGCTATATCAAAATGCAAGTATTATTATTATTAATAAGAAAGCCTGTGCCCATTTCTTGTTTTTTTGCACCTTTAAGCAACGGGGGTGGGTAATGTCACTTAATAAGTGGAGTCCTGTAGCTCAGTGGTTATAGCACTCACGTTACAAGCAAGAGACCTGGGTTCGATTCCTGACAGGGCGAAACCTTGGGTAAGTTTCCTTACCCCACATGGCACTGTTTACCTAGCAGTAAGTAGGAACCCAGTTGTTTTCTGGGGGTAATAATCACTTTTCTGGGGGTAATAATCCCTTTTAAAAAAATGATAATAATAAATTGGTCACTCAATCCACGACTGTGCTGTGCGCAATTGACTGCTGCGTTTTGCCCACAAAATATATATTTATAGTGAATAAAGATGTCTCAAAGACGTGATAAGGCGCTATATCAAATGCAAGATTATTAGTATTATTATTAATAAAGTTGAGCTAAATTTAGGAGAAAGACGCATGGACTTCTTGGAAAGATTGTAAATTATTTCAAAATAAGAAAAGGCTAGAGTATCTGGCTGGTTCCTCTGCATTCCAGATGACTTGATCAAACAAGTTACGAACACAAGCAAGTAATTTTAAAAACTGTATCCCTGGTGCAACTCCCAAAATCCTCTTAACATGGCTGAACCACCTATGAGATATATCCCAGCTGGACAGTTATTTCTGCTACGAGGGGATATAAACCCAAGATTGATCCTAGAAGATGAAGATGTTGGAAACACAAAGTAAAAGGTTACTTTTTTAGTACTCAAAGGTTTATTAAGATGTGGAACACGTTACAAAAAGTGACAATTGAAACAGATTATTTCAAAAGGTATTGGATAAGATACTGGCAAAATAACGATATAAGAAAGCATATGGGAAACAGCAGGCAAATGGAATTACAGTAAAATAACACCAGTAGGGAGCAAGTATGGAATATTGAAGATGATCAATGGCTTTCTTCTGCGTTGAAATTCTATTAATTATTATCAGACAGAGATGCTGATTTGGGTTAAAATCCACGAGTCTATTTTAAAAAAATGGTGCAATCTCTTTCCAAGGATCAGAGATTTGTAAAATCAATCAACAGAATTGAAAATAAAATGTGCGTGGCAAGCTCAGAGAAGGCTTAACATCAGTGTGAAGAGATATGGCGAAAGCCTTTCCCTTCTCTCTAGGGTGCAGCTAATCTAAGGAAACTAATTCCTATAATATCCATCTCATCCCATTCCAATTTTCAGGAAGACATGTCGACAGTAAAGGACGGATTTCTTTTCATCAACATCACTCACAGAGAAGTGTAGCATTTAAAAGAACTACATCTACATCGTAGATGATCACTTCTGAGATTAAGGTTACTAGTCAGATGCCTGCCACTGTTGCTGTCCCAAGCTATAGAACTGAAACTGGGAACTCAAAGTATGAATTAACAAACTGTCCACTTGCTGGTACAGCTAATCATTCTTCAAGAGGAGTTAAATTCAGGAAAGGTCAGAGGAACAAAATTCCACTTGGTCTTAGCCTGTAAGACTATTTTGTTTTAAACTCTAGAATGCCACAAAATTGCGGATTATTCTTCAAATCCTTCTTAATTTGGAAGTAGTTCCTTATAAACCTTTTGGAAAACCAGTTTCCAAATTAAAATACAAATTTAAGAATTTTCTAAAATTGTGTGCAATCTTGAATTTTAAGATAACATCTCTGGACTTCACCTACCCATAGTCGAGCTACAAAAGTCTTGTCAGAAATATGGTGTTTTGGTTTCTTAAATCAAGAGATTTATGGTAAACTTTTCTTGAATTATCTCACCAAACGTAGAGAGCTTTATCATCTAGCAGGCCATGAAGTACAGAAAATACGATCAGGAAGAAGCCCATCAAGGTAAGTAAGTAGTCGTGGGTTATTTCCACCAGTAACTGGAGAGCACACATTTTAAGCTATTTTCACTAGAAATTAAAGGAGTGGTTAAAAAAAATCTTTACATGGAGTGCAGAAGTGGTGAGAATATGGAATTCTCTGTCACCAACCATAAATGAGGTAATGTCCATAGATTTTTAAAGGAAGTTAGATAAATACTTGAAGAGGAGGAATATTAAAGGATGTGGAGATAGAGCAGGAAAGTGGGATTAGATTGGTGCATGCATAGAAAACCACCAGACTTAGGCCAAGGGATCAGAAGTTATATTCTCATCACCAGAGAGACTGTTTTCAGTCTGGCTCAGTGGGCAGCACTCTAACCTCTTGTCCAAAAGTTGTAGGTCCTAGCCTTGACAACAGCTCATATTCTAGCCCAACAACTCTAGTGCAGAACAGAGGAGCACTCAGGTGCAGGGTGATGGCATGCTTCTATCAGAGCAAAGAATTGTCCTCTATTTAGCTCATCAATTCCCTGCATTATTCAACTTTTCAATCAGATTCTAAAGGAAGACCAATATTCTTCCCTCCAATTTCACCCGAGACATTAAATATGTCATTCGCCTCATTGCTGTTTGCAGAATAACAAACAGCAATGAGATTAGCTACCATGTTTGCCTAACATAAGTCATTGTATTTCAAAGTGATTGATTCATCAGGCAAAGCACTTTCGAGATATTGCAATGTGATAATGCAAGTATATATTTTACCTCACACATTGAAGCATTTCAGCCACTGATGGCAAAGGGGGTGGAGAGAAGAGAGTAAACAGAAGGTGAATTTACTAGGTTTACACTCTGTTTTCGATTTGTCATCTACACTATCTAATAATGAAACCGTCAAGGAACTGACAATAAAAAGCTGTTCCAATTTACCTCTGACTGAAATATCATTATAGGCACCCATAAAATAAAGAGTCAAGGGTGGCAATGTATACTGCACAAATAAAATAAAGAAATCATAGTTACAGTCTGCAATATCGGCACTCCACAAAATAAATAACAATCATTAAAAAGGTGCAGCATCATAAATCGTAGTAATGTGCGAAGAGAGGAGAATGATGTCTGATGTCTAACAATAAAGCAGATGTCCAGGTGCTAGTGTTACTAAAGTGCATATTTTGCTCTTTAAATTGAGGGAATTCACTCCTCAAGATACTATGTGTGTGTGTCGGTGCGGGGGGTGGAGGGGGAGAGGAGAGGGAGAATGAAAGAATAAATTATCATGTTGATTAATCCATGAGTGTGAAATGAAATTTACACTTTCCATCTTACATTGACATGAATTCTCATGGGTACAACTAGAGGTCTTAACCTCAGTATTTGAGTGAGTTGCTGATGAACTGGTTGCTGTGGTAAGGTGGTGCCCAGGCTCACCCTGTGGAGGAAGGAAATAGCAGAGGATCTCCCATTCACTACATCCAGAGCGTCAACAACTAAACTAGGCAAACTGGTCACATTGACAACCGGATGCTTTGCTAAGGGCATCCTTTGGTAATGTATGATACCAAGATGTCTTAAAACACTTAAAGAGTTGTTTTAAAGTACAGTGAATGCTACGTAAAATAATGAGTTTCTCCCCATGTCCTTGCCAACAACCCGCTAAATAAAATTGGTTATTCATTTCATGACTGCTTGTGGGACTTGAAATTGGGCTGCCACATTAATCTATAAATTTACAGTCACTCCATTTCTTTGGGACGTCCTTCTGATGTGAAAGGCGCAAAACCAATAGTCAACAGGATGATCAGGTGGAGCTCCATCATAGAATGTTTGGGCTAAATAACCATTTCACACATCAGAAATCAGTATATTCCATTACAGGAAGGATGTTTGGTAAGCAATTACTGTTCACATAAAATGCGACAGCACCAGAGAATGATTCAATTCTTCACCAAAAGTGGAAATTAAATACATATCTCAAGTTCACAGAACATTGCTGTAAGTTCTATAATCAGTGAACCCCTATGGTTTAAGCTGACACTCCAGTGCAGTGCTGGGGGTGTGTTGCATTGTCAGAGGTGGCGTCCTTTGTTTGAGACATTAAACCGAGGTCCCATCTCCCTGTTCAGGTGGACTACTCAAAAAGAGGAGTTTCTCCCCATGTCCTTCCCAACAACCCGCTAAATAAAATTGGTTATTCATTTCATTACTGCTTGTGGGACTTGAAATTGGGCTGCCACATTAATCTATAAATTTATAGTCACTCCATTTCTTTGGGATGTCCTTCTGATGTGAAAGGCGCAAAACCAAATGCAAGGATTTTGTTCTTTTTTAGTAATTGGCAATGTTTTTTAAGAATTTTTTTAACAAAAGTCTTTATAGGTCATCTAATACACTTTCCAATTCTTTATTAATATATATAGAAATATATATCTATATATAAATAAAGCATATTAAACTTTATATTATTAAAATAAAATATTTTTTATAAAATAAATATACGCTTTACTGTAAAGCGTAGTGACTGTATATTTTGGCAAATTATGCTATTTGAACATATCA